ATTTAACTTTAAATGTTGTTTTCTTATCTTTAGTTAAACTATTTATAATAGTTTTGTATTGGATTTGTGTTATTTGAAATATATTAAGACCACTGATAATTTTTGTTTTATGATATATATTTTGTTACATTATATATATATACGTTTCCAAAACGTTTCCGTTTCCTGTTTTTTTTTTTTAAAATCGTTTCCGCGTTTCCGTTTCCATTTCCATGCAGCTTAGGTTATTATCTTGTATAAATAAGCCTATTGGCTACTCAATAAAATTGAGTGAAACTATTTTACTTTTAAGGTTTCCTCCAAAATCTATCAACACATACTTTTCATTTCCTATTGCAAAATTGACATAGCAAAATCTAGACTAGAAAACAATTAATTCGAGATCTGATGAGACACCATTTTGGTTTATACATTAAACCCACAAACCAGAGAACATCACTGGAGCGAACTGTTTATTTTAATATATTTTTTTAATTTTGATAATTGTTAATTATAGGAGATGATTCCATTTTTTTTTAATATTCCTATTTAAACTAATAAAAAAAAAGAGGGGTTGACAAAAAAAAAAGAGATAGTTTCAAGTATCCAAAATCACTTGTATATTTGTTCTAAGTGTTTTTCTTGAGTAACATTTGATGGTTTCCATTGAGATTGGTATTAGAGCACGTTTTGCTTATAATTCATCAAAAAAAAAAAAAATATATATAGACAAAACACAATTATATTTAACTTAACTTTCGGTTACAACAAACACAAGCAGATAGTTCTTTTCCAAAGAGACAATCCCTCTTGTTACAAGATTAAAAAGCAAGACATTAAAAAGAAAGGATAGATGATTATCATCATAGATAATAATCGGGGGTAGCTTGGAAAGCGCTAAATGTTCTACCAATAAAAGCAAGCGAACAACTTTTTGAGTTCTTAATGCCATTGAGGCTGAGTTTTGAAAAACTTTCTCCATAAAAGAGAAATTTGGTGGAATGGTTCTCTCCATAATGGAGGAGTTTAATGAAAGTGATCTCTCCCAGAAGGAGAAAAATTGCGACAGTAATCTCTCCGAAATGGAGGAAATTTGTGAGAATGATCTCTCCAAAATGGACCGATCCATCATTAAGAAAATCATATTTCTTCCGGTAAAAGCTCTGATGAATTCAGTCACATATAATACCATTGCAGAGGTAAAGTTGGGCCCTAAGCCCATTGTGAACCACTTGAACAAAGCCCATATTGCAAGTGTTGGAATTGCTTCGCCGGAGCAGTACACCGACACCTTGGATCTTCTCGTGGTTGCAAGGTTAGGGAAATTGGAACTAGCTCGAGATTTTGGGGAAGCGTTAGGGTCGTCAAACCACAATTTTGGCACATCTAACCTTCTCACAGTAAGGATTTTACAGAAACTAAGCATAACGGTAGAGAGAGAGTAAACCTTGACAACGTTACCGGTGGCTAACAACTGCAGAGGATATGGCGGATCCGAAGGTCCTATAATGGAGTGGATGGCGTAATACCAAAATAGTGTTAAAGTTTTGCTCCAATATATTACACCATTCTTTGCATCAAAATGAAATATTCTTACTAAATTTTCTTTTTCAATTCTTTAAAATTTACGAATCAACCTCACTTATTTGTTTTAAATTTAAAAAATTATGAAATAATTTAAATTTAACATTTATTATATAAAGTAATATATTGTAGTATATAACATAACAAAATATATTAAGTTTTTGTTTAATTATCATCAAAAATATTAGATTTTGGATTTAACCATCACAATTTGTATATGTTTTTCACTAATTTTAAAGTTGATTAAAATTTGAAGGACCTTTTTATAAATAAAAAAATTCACACCAAAATGGTGTTGAATTGTAGAGGCTTTTACACCAAAAATAGATTTGGTGTTGGGTTGGAAAGAGCTTTTTAAGATGAAACGAGCACGGATGCTTCTCAAAAGTTAACATTTTTTTCTTTCTAAAACTCCTTAAAAGTTATCATTCTCGTTACACATGCATATTTTCAATATAAATAACCATAGATCACTCTAAAAAGTTGATATTTTTTTGTTGCTTCTCACTAAATAAAAACATTAGGGGCAATTACAAAAATCCACATTTTGTGTGCATATTTGCAAATGTCACTTAAGGGTGTCTATTTGCAAAATGCCACTAATTATAGATTTAAAAACCTATATCTTAAAATTCTAAACCCTAAAAAATGTTTTGATCCTTAAAACCCCCTAAACCCTCATAACTAAACCCTAATAGAACACAATTAACCCAAATATAAATAATATAAAGAAAAAATAATTTTGAAAAAGTGGCATTTTTGTAAAGATTTCAAAAGTGTGGCATTTTTGTAAAGTGGCACTTGAAAAGTAGCATTTTTTGAAATTTTTCAAAACATTAATGTACATTTACGAGGAATATTCTTCCGATCCCACAAATCCATTGTATAATTTATATAAGGTCTAAATGGTAAGAGCAGAATCTGGCTGAATTTTACAGAATTGTAGAATCTGGCTGAATTTTGCAGAATTGCAGAATCTGGCTGAATTTTTAGTGATTTTTTGCAAAATATGGCAAAATCTCGTAAAATGTAAATGGTAATCTGACTGATTCTTTTAAAGATGAA